TCACCCTGAATTTCCTGCAGCATGTGGAGCCTGTTCAGGAGCCATCTGCCTTGGATCCTTGGCCCTTAGCATCTTCAACACAAACATAAACCCTTTTATTAACTGCAAAAATATGTTGCACCAATACAGTATTTCACGCAGGTTGACTGGCTGGTTCAGTAACTCTTCATCACCCTCCATAACAAGCACCTAGTTTCAGAATTTGATTCAGGAGCAACTTGGGGCATGCACGAGCTAGTATTTTCCTTGACAAATGGCAATAGGYGACTGGTTGTCCCCAGGAGCAATTTTGCTCCTGCAGGAGAGCTGGAGAGCCTTGCAGAGAGCCACATATTCTGGGCAACAAGAAACAGGAGCCATGGGCTTGCAGTGGCARCAAACATGGCAATAGGAAAATAAATATTTATTGGCACAAACTGGGGGTGAGAGCTATTGTCACAGTAGGGCAGAACCAGGCAGGATCCATGATGCTGGATGCCAAAAGCCAGGAGGAACAGCTCAGACACAAAATGGTACAAGGGTGATGGGAGGGCTGGGTGAAGGACAATGGCCCTGCTTTTTTTTGGCCAGTGCAGACAATTGTGCTCAAGTGTTGCTCTGTGGAATRGCCGGGATATTATTTTTACAGCACTTTTTCTGGAAAGCAGCGTTTTGCAGCCCAGTGGGTTTGAGCCATATCCCCACAGCAGGCTGGCACACAGCTGGTGTCTGTATACTCATTTTCTATGCAGTCTGATTTAGGGGACTTTGCACAGAGAAGAGCAGTCGTTGATACTCCACATTTTTTCCAGGGATMAGTGCAAGGCTCAGGAACAGTGAACTTTGTCCAACTTAAGCATTTCATTGCAACAAGCTTCTGATGTTCTTCTGTGCCTAGGGAGGAAGATGTCTCCCTCCCTGTGGCAGCTGGATTTTCTGTCCCGCTTGTGATAAGGATACAGACAATTGGCTCCAAGATGTTAAATCGGGGCACTGTCTTATGAATGTAGCTGTTCCTCTGTGAATGGGGCTGATTCTGGAGCAGAGGAGCCAGGTGTAACATTTTTGGCTTGGTTTTGTGCCTGCAGCAGTCAGAACAGGCCATATACAGCAGTATTTCAAACTGGAGCAGAATGAGAACAGACAAAACAAGAAGGGATACAGGAAACTGTGAATCCCCAGCAGGGAGGTGGATATCCAAGCCCTGAGCCTCCAGGGAGCTGCRTATGCCAATGCCGTGTTCTGTTTGAAGATCACAGAATCACAGAATGGTTGAGATTGGGAGGGACCTCTGGAGATCATCTGGCACAAAGTCTCTTGGTGAGAGCCACGACACACCTTCCTCCTCSTCTGCTGAATCTTGGAGACTTTTATTGGATTTGCTTGGATACAGATAATTTAATAAATAATACTTTCACTGTAATTCTACAGAAATAGTGACTTTACAGCAGTTTAAACTGATTTTTAAAGTCTCTAAGTAACTTGGTAGTCATAGCAGTAGAGAAAAAGCCCTAAATTATGCTCAGTTCAGAAATTCAAAACTTGGAAATACTGCCTTGTTTCATTCAAKATATTTTCTGTACTGCATTTCAGCACAGAGTAAATTAGCAGTGGCAGGAGAAGAGAATTGGGAGGAAAAATGCAATAGAATTTGCAACAAAATGGTGAAAACCAGCTTAAAGCCATGACAATCACACATGTTAGCAAAACGGATTTGTCACCTCCAGCAAGTGCTTTCTTTTTCAGCCCCATGGTGCAGCCCCATTTCAGATTCTGTCTCTGAGGCACAGGTACAAAGCCAAGAGACAGTGTTCCCTTCTGTGTGGTACAGGCAAGTCACATCATGGATTATGTGTGCTTGACTTTCCTCAAGCCACAACTTCCAGGCATGTTGGTACATGGTTTTCCAATACCAGTTTTGACTTGTTCTTCAAGTGGCAGATTGCCCCATCACCTCTTTCCAAGCCTCAGCCACATGATCAAACAGAGGATAATCCCCAGTCTCACCCTCTGGTTGCCTTACTTTTTCTTGGAGGASTTCTCCAAGGTTATTTCCAAGGTCCCACTCATGGGGCCCTTATCTTGGTCAGAGCCATAAAAGGGGCTCCAATGAGCTGCATCATTCAATGATGGGCAAGGGCATGGTTGGAAATAACTCATCTGAAGCATGCTTGGAGAAAAAATGTAAAGAAATAAAGTGTCAATGCTGAGCAGCCTGTAGCCCGTCTAGAAATGAGGTCATTCTTACACGAGGGTTCTGTAAGTCTAAGGCATGTAAAATTCCTCAAATATTATTAGGATCGAAATAATACAAACCATTATTCTAAAATAAAACTGTCTGGGCTTGCAAAATTCGCATTCAGATAGTAAGCAAGGGAAATTTTAAGCTTATCAAGCAAACATAATCACAAGTGTGTATCTTAGCTTCAGTAAGGCAAGGTTCCTGGGGAAAATGACAAGTGTAATTAAAACCTGTCTCATCCCGTGTGCGCACAGGGGATGGCAAGCTGTGATGGTAATGGGAACAGCTCCTAGCAGGTGTTTCTCTGTTAATATGAGGTATTAAATAAAACTTCCCAAGTTTATTAACCCAAATATTCTCCTTTATGCCTCTAGCAGTGCCTCTGTGATGTGATGCAAACAGGCTGAACTTGAACTGTATCTTTTCAGCATAAACTTTTGTTTTCAGAGGTACAGAACTATCTACAGTAGCTGACTCTGTTACAGGAGCCTGGAACACTGTTGATGCTGCAAATTCTTTTCCACTTTGTAGCTCTGAAGGTTGTTAGTTTTCCATGATGAAGATCTCAGGCTCATTACAGCATGGTGGGGATCCTCTACAACCAGTAGGAGAGAGGAGGAAACCCTGCTAGAAGTGCTGTGCTCTGTTTCCTGCAACTGTGAGAGGATGAATGCAATCAACTACGTTTTTTAAATAAAAGAATCAGAAAGGGAGGAAGCAGAGCCAGAGCTGGGCTCTGGCTTTGGATGGTCTGATGTGTCACTTCAGAAGAGCAAAGTGTTTGGTCTGAAGGAGAGGGAAGCTTGGCTACGCTCTTTCCTCTRCAATACCTGATAGTTCCCAGGCAACCCCAGTACTGTGAGACTTCTTGTGCTTATATGACTTTTCAAGTTCATTTGTTATTTGCTGCCAGAATTTTCCCAAGGAACGCAGACAAGGAGTGGTAAATGGTGATTAATTCAGACAGCCTAAGTAGAGGACTCACGGCGGCTCCCCATGTACTACAAGAAAGCAAACGGCTTGCTGATGTCCTTTTGTTAGGGAATTGTGTAGCCTGGTTGTTTAATGGAGTGTTTAAAAATTGTGTTGGCAATAGCCTATGAATAATGTATGATGAAATACCTTACTGCCAAGAAACTGCTGATATGCTGGGGAAATTTCCAYCAGATGTGAGAAAAATTTTGAAGGCACTGTCTTCTTGGGATGCCCTTTATTTATAGCCTCACTGCTTCGGAGATTGCATTCCCTTTTTAGATCCTGCATGTGAAGATGCCCTCCACTGCCTCTGTATTCCAGCTCCACCTGACTCCACTTGCTTGTGCCCATAAAAGCTCCGGAATTTTTATGAGATTAGGCTTTATCACCTGAGCACTGTATGCATGGAATATTTCCTGTGCAATTTCCAGGTATTTCCTTCACCTGTTTACGTACCTGCACCCAAGCACCCTTCATCAAAGGAAGATGGACGCTGGTCACGGCAACACCCCATGATGCGGAAAGCAGAAAAAGGGTCAAATTATTTGGAAAAAAAAAAAGAGACCAGTTGGATTTTGCAGTGTGAAACGAGCTCGGATGCCTTTAAATTTTCCTGTGTCCTCCTCCAGTGCGTGAGACCTGTGTGTGCTTTGGCCATGAGTAGTGGGAAGTCACTGTGATACAAAGTGAATAAATCTTGCTTGACCAAAGAAATGAGAAGGCTTAGAGTGAACCCCTGCTTGCAGGGGAGCCTTAGGTGCAAGAGGAAACAGGCCTCCTGCCCCAGGACACAGATCACACAGGCATGGAAGCAATTAACAGTCTTCCTTTGCTCCTTGTTTTGGCCTTCCGCTCTTCTCCAGGAGAAAATAAAATCAGAGCTTTGTTTCTTCATGTGGAGTTTTCACCACCAGCATTGAAATGCAGAAATATGATGGGAGGGCAGGTGAACATAATGCATATCACTGTGCAGAGTAGTCTCAGCTAAGCATTTGTCAAAAACAGACCCAGCTTGTGCAGTCTGTAGCTCTGTGCCCTGCCCCTTCTGTGGCTTTGTTATGAGTAGCCAAGTGCTTGTGCTGCATTTTTGTGTCTGTATTTACACAGCAGAGTTCTGAGTCGAAACATTTCCTGCAATATGGGTACTGTATTATTAGTATAATGCCAGAACAAAGCTACACGTGGTTGGTGTTGGTATTAGTCAGCCGAGGAAGTGACATCCTCACCTGGGAAGTTGATGTGTTGGGTTTGGGAGCTTGTGATGCCAACAGCAAGCTCCAGGCATGAGGCTACAGGGCAGGAGAAAGATTGGGTTAAGAGAGGGGTTGTATCCTCAGGGAGATCTCCAACTGGCTTAGCAGGATGATTTGTGAAAATGGGAGAGAAGATTTATGCTTTTGTGTTTGTTTGCTGCTGGGAGGTGCCTGGGCATGSAGTATTTTCACAGCTCCAGGAAAGGTGTATTGAAGGGGTTAGTCTAAACACAAGACAGGTGACAAGGAGCACCAGAGTTTGACTGATGGTGTAAATATTTTCAGTGGAACAAATAAAGAGGAAAAGGTATCTAAAAATTCCTTCAAATCCACCACCCAAAGCCSATCCTGCCAGCTGAGAAGTGTTTTCAGCAGAAAGGGTCACAAAGGTCTAGGCAGAGGATCATGGTCAAGTTCAACCAGCATTTCTCACACTGCTAGCTGTGTATGGAAGAGCAACTTTGAAAAGGAAGTGCTGTTATGAAGTTTATTTCACTGATGCTTCTGATGATCCTATTAATTTATATTTTTTTAATGTTTGTTTTCTTTAGGTGAAGAGCGAAGGCCCCAAACTGGTCCCCTTCTTTAAAGCCACTTGTGTCTATTTTGTCCTGTGGCTGCCAACCTCCAGCCCCTCCTGGTTCAGTGCCCTCATTAAATGTCTGCCCATCTTTTGCCTGTGGGTTTTCCTTCTGGCTCATGGGATTAACTTCTTAGTGTCACACCAGAGTGCCAGCCGCATCCTAGCGGGACTCATATTCTCGGCAGTGGGAGACGCCTTTCTCATCTGGCAGGAGCAGGGCTACTTCATTCATGGTGAGTACAGTGTCAGTCCTAAAGGGATGCCACAGTGCCCAGCTGTTACCCTCTTTGTTTAGYAATGAGTTGCTGGGCCACATGTTTTGTTTATTCATGTACAGCTTAAGCCCCGGGCACTGGGAAGCACTCATCCCTTGACTAAAATCCATCATGGTTAGAGGAATCACATCATGGATGAGTCTTTCTCTCGAGCTTCTTTTGAGGTTAGAGCGGTAATTAGGTCAGGTTTGGTTTCCTGGCATGTGTCACAGCATCTCAGCTGGCTGGAGTTGAGAAGGTGGCATGGCAGAATCCCTGGGGAAGAGAAGGAAATGCTCGTGGCACTCATCAGCTTCTATGAAGCTTTGGGAAGTATTTACCTSCTATCTCTCTGCAGGGAGATCTGTCAGCCCTTTGCTGAAAGGATCGGGAGTGGGACATATTGTGCAAAGGTCCTCAGTGGAGAACAGGTGGAGAAGATATTCATGTTTTGATAGACAAGCCCATAGCCTGAGGGAGGCATTAAGTGGATGATAGAAACCAAAGCAGCAGAAATCTTGTCCTACTTGCAGGTTCATCAGTGTGAATCATGCAGCCTGTTGTACAAGACCTGTCTGTTTTGCAAAACATTTAAATGATGGTCAATTAAGGACAAACCTTACCACAGTGGTCTGTCTTCTCTGTAGGAAGATCCGCATCTCTCGGAGCAAAATGAGCTTGGTTTATTTTGCTASTTTGCAGACTGGAACATAATGATTCAGATTAATCATTTAAAGCCATGTTGAACCTGCCTGCAGCAATGCTCTCCCTGGCCTTGGACTGTCACAAGAAATCAGCAGCAGTTGAGTYCTTCACTGATCTGACTGGTGGGGCTTCTGAAGTTAATTTAACCAGCACAGGGATCTCACATAGCACCCATCATTAACTGGCTGCTGTGACTGTCCCACTAGAAAATGTGATGAGATGAGGGAACTTTTCTGACTTGTGCTGTTTTCAGCTCTGAAAGTCAAAGACTTATTTTTTCCCCTCTCTCATGRGGTTAGTATTTAGTTTTATTCTGGGATTCCCACAAGCTTTCTGTACGAGAAGGAAGTGTGTGCAGTGCCAGACATGAAAGGCCAAATTCTCTGAATCTGGCTTTAATCCTGCTTCCCAAGGGCTTATCCCCATCCCATTAAAAGTTCATGTAAAAATGTTCACTGATTTTGATGGAATTYAGCTTAGGCTGTGAGGATTGGACCTATCTGGCTGAACCTTGGCATGCCAAGGATCTCCAGCTTTCTGAAGGTGCCATCCCTTCAGTGCTGAGCGCTGACATTCCCACYGATGGGCCTCCTCCCAACAGGAGTACCTGGCTCAGTTGCCTCAGCCCAGCTGCTTTTGTCTCCTGGAGTTGCTCCTTGAGCTRTGGCTTGGAAAACACTCAAGGCACAGTTCTCCCCACAACCATTTTTGTATGGACTGTTCCGTGCTTCTCCATTTCCATGGAGCTGATGTATGTCCAAGTTCCCTCTCCAGTTTAGTGCTCGAGGAAGGCTAACCAGTCACAGCAATTCAGCATCTGCCTGATGTGTTTTAATCTCAAATGAGTTGGGTTTCAACCCTRCTCTCACAACTGAGAAGTTTTGCTTTGTGGTGTCAACAGATTTTTCTTCTCGAAAAGAAAAGCTCCATTGGAGCATTTTGAAAGCCTCAGCCCACTGARCTACCACCTTCTGTAGGGAAGTGTTAATATTTGCATTTCAGATGTAAGGAGATAAAGTGCASAGCTCCACTTCATCCTTCACCTTGCCTACAAAATGTAATTTCTCCTATTTAAAACGCGTCAGGTTGCTGTTATTGACAACTGACAATATTTTTGATGCCATCATCTGTGGGAATTTGAAGTTTCAGAAGAGAAGAGGAAGTACTGGACAAAAATGTACATTCTGTTCAATTTCTGCAGTTTTTGGACTGAAAAGGGTTGGAAACTGGGCTCATTTGAATAGCTTTTGAGACAATGAGTTTATAAAAGGATGTTTGTTCATTACTTTATAGGGAAGTGAGAGCCTGGGAACCTACTCCTGGCATGCTTGACTTTTTTTCATTTTTGCTGTTTCAGTCCACTAATGACATGCCGTTTTCTGACTAGTGCCTTACTGCATATAGAAGACACTTTACAGTTTTAATATCCACCTCCTTTGATAGCAGGCACTTAGAAACAATTTATKCATTTGGTGAAGAAGACAGGGACAGCAAAAGGCCTTATTGCCAGCCTGAGGAAACCCAGGGGAAGAAAGCGGACAGAGAAAAGGGCTGACCTCCATAATGTGATTGAGAGGACCAAACTAAAGTCTGAGAACTGCAAGAGAAATGCACCCCCATCCCTGTGCAGCCATCACAGGTTTCCCCAGTTCCTGGCATGATTTGTGGGTGTTGAATGAGTAAACCKGGGAGCTGACTCCCTTGTTTGTGACCAGCCTCACCACATATCACGAAGCTCCTGCCTTTCTGGGCTCTGTTTGCCTGCCACATCTTGTCCTCTCCTCCTCCTCGCTGCCAGATGCCTGCATGAAGGACAACACATTCTTCAGTTCCCTGTTCCAGAATGCACCATATAACACCAYTGAAGGACAAAACATTCCTCACTACTAAGGCGAACTATCCTTCTCCTTACCAGCTCTCTGCGCTCCAACGTTTCCTGCACTATAACACTGTAAGCTCTTGCCCTAAGTCCCTTCTCAGTTCTCTCAGTGCTGTGCCCATGAGGTGCAATAGCTCTGTGTAAATCAATTTCTCGTTCTGCTTTGTGCTTCTCTTCTTTCCCCATCACACTACATTTTCTCTAGCCTCACCCTGCAAAACAGATCCCCACCAGCGCCCTCCCTTCTGAGGATTTTGTTCRCATCCCACCATGGCCAAGCTCTCAGTGGATGTCTGATCTGGTCCTCCCCAAAGACAGGGAGACACTTCCACTTCTTGAGCTGCCTCAACACAAGAGTGTTAGGGTGAAGTAACATCTGCCAGCTGCTGGTTTTCGTGACTGCCCTTTATGCCAGCACATCATGTGTTAAATGTGAACAAGGGTCCTGATTAAGGACTTCACTTCCCAGATTCTTTTYACCATTTCATGCTGTAGAGCTGCATGAAAACTTCCAGCTACTCTAATAGCCCTACCAGGATAAAGTGGGACAGCCTGCAGATGCACCAAGKGTGGGTCTGGGAACCAAAAGACCCAAGGAGCTGGGCTCTGTTTGTGTCCCATTATCTACAGTTGTCATGACAGCTTGGAGGCAGCAGCTGTACCAACACATTGKGACATATATTTGTCAAGTGGATTAGTGGCACGTCAATAACATACAGGCAGTACCTTCCAACACCCACATCTGGCATTTCTCAGGGGTGTTGCACTTCAAAGGAAGCCGGCATTTTATTTTCCCTGATTGATTCCTGGTAAGGTTCATCTGAATCTTGCAAATAGCCATAAAATTGTTGGCAGATCACATTGGTGCAGCCCCTGAAATATGCCAGCTGCCTCTTTGCAGCTTAGATTTCTCCCAGCTATGGGCAGAGATGGAGTAGAAGCCAGATTTAGTTCTTGAGTACCTTYGGGTTTGTGGCTAAATAYGGGCAGGSTTTGTGTCTGGGTTTGGAGGGATTWGTGTCTTTTGTCACGTTTTGTTCCTCCACTGCTCTGATTCGTCTTCCTGTTCCACACATGGCCTGTGAGAAAAACACTATGGATAGTTAGAGGGAGTGATCTTAGGTCTGCCTTCTGCTCAAAGCAGGGGAAGAGGAACTACCTGAAAAGAAAGCTCAATTCATTCTGCAGCAGCTTAGTTCACCTGGCCCCTCAGCAGAAAGGCTTTTATCACAGGAGAGTTGTATTTGGCTTCAGCTGTAGATGTGCTGGGGCTGTTTTTTAGGTTGGGGGCTTGGTGCTATCTGCCACGTCCACATTGCTGTATTAAAATTGTCCCAAGTGTTCCATGTGCTTCTCACTGGTAGTGTTACRGGTGGTAACATTGCAAGGAGTGTTTGATTGCCAGTCACCGTCGAAAGGTCACACACTTTCTGTGTCAATGCTTCTCTCCAGGTCTGCTGATGTTCGCCATCACACACATCCTGTACTCTTCAGCCTTTGGCATGAAGCCCTTGGACCTGAAAGCCGGCTTGCTGATGGGCGTTGTTTCCAGTTCCTGCTATGCCTTCCTGTACTCCTACCTCTCGGGCCCCTTCACCTACCTGGTGGCCGTCTACATCGCGCTGATCGGCTTCATGGGCTGGCGGGCCATGGCGGGCGTGCAGCTGTGCAACGACCTGTGGACGTGGACCAAGCTGTCGGCCTGCGTGGGCGCCATGCTCTTCATGGTGTCCGACCTCACCATCGCGCTCAACGAGTTCTGCTTCCCCGTGCCMTACTCGCGCTTCATCATCATGGCCACGTACTACGCAGCCCAGATGCTGATCGCGCTGTCGGCTGTAGAGACCAGAGACGAGGAGGACTTCAGGAAGAGGAGCTAGGTGGAGTGCCAATAGTCTGTGAACACGTGGGTTATATCTCAGGTGCTGTAGCTGCATTCACCCCTGAGAGAGATCTCCATTTCTCTAGGCACACTGGTGATGTTGATTTTGCTTCTTTGAAGCATTACCTTTGGGAATTACTTTTTTTTTTTTCAATGGCTTTCTCTGAATACAGCTTACTTCAGTGTGGAGTCCACATCAGAAAGCTTAGACTGTCCCTGCAGTAGTTACTCATTCAACTTTTCCTCCTTGAAAGTGCTGTACTACTGCATTTTACTTGTTAGTCTTGAAACTGATGCTGAATGTCTGGGAAGAGGAGGGCTGGTGGAAAGGAGGTTTGGCCGTGCACTGTGCTAAAAAGCTTGCTCTCCAGTGTAGGCAGACAGGCACAGATCTYTGCTAATGTCATAGGTAAAAATTAATTTAACTGATGTTTGTTTCTTTTTGTCTGTTACAAACTCAGTATGCAAACTGGAGCTATTCCTCTGCTGAAAGGAAGGTTAAAGGGAGAGCAAAAAGGGCATATCCAGCTGATAGGGATGGGAGATGATCTTTGGAGTCAGAGGCAGCGTGTGGGGCAAGAGCCAGCAGAACCAGCATGAAAGCAGGACCGAGGGTGTGGAGCAAGAGGTGTGCTGGCAGTGCTGCATGCTTTGATTGCAGTGATCACTGCTCCAGGGCAGGTCTCCAGGTACAAGTCAGCATTGCTGCATGTGGCACAACTGCAGAGAGCAGAAGTTTGTGGGATTTCAGGAATATCTCGGTAGCCAGGCCAGCACRTTCTCCCTCACCACGGGCACACAGTTACCCAGTGCCTGCAGCCACCAGTGGGATGTTATGAGGAGGAACTTCGGTTTTTACAGCAGAACTTACTCATTGCGTCTTATGAGCATATATCCTAAGTATCTTTAGTATGGCAGACAGACATCCAATCTTTATGTCTGTTTTCTCCAATATCCTAACAAATAATATTCCATGTACTCAGTAAGTTTTAGTAGCACTTACAGTAGTACTTTTAGTACTGCTGCCTGCAGTATCTCAAATCTTTGTGTGAGCATTTCCTGTGGTCAAGGCCCTGATTTTGGATTGCTGTGTTTTGCCAGCTGGTAGTAAATGATCCTCTTTGCACCACTTCTTTTTTTTTTTTTTTTTTTTTTAGAAAGCCCCTTTTTAGCAGAGCTTCCTGAAAAGCACTGTCCTTTGTGTTTGAAACGCTTGCCACTTCCTTCTCAAGCTCACACAGAACGCTGCCAGCTTTTCCCTTGTGTGGAGAGGTGCTGAGTGGGTCTCCTGCTCTTCTCCAGCCTCGCCTGGTGTGCCTGGCAGGGAACAGGCACTGCCTCCCATGACTTCTCCATCAGTGCAAGTGCAGCCAGTATTACAGAAWTCTAGGCTAACCACCCTGACCCCATGGAGGCATCTGCTGCTTTTCAGACAGGGATCAGAAAGGTCAGCTGCATTATGGAGAGGGAAAGCACTGTAGGTAGCGCAGCCCCGTGTAATCCCTTCCCTTTAATGCTGTTATGTAATACTGTCAGTATTCATTCACTGGAGCATCRGGGCCTGCCTGGAGTAAACAGCTAAGGGAATTTAGAGCCATAAACCATCTCCATTCATCAGCATTGCTTATCTCCTGGCCACAGATTGAACTCTGSAGTGTAGCTCTCTGCAGATGTCACCTGCTGTTACTCGGCTGTTTGCAAATCAACTCCTTCATCAGACTAACCCAGCTAAARGGAAATCCAAGCATTTGGGGTGAACCCCACCATCCTCCCAGCATGTGAGCAAACTGCCCACTGCAGTCTTTGAGCCACAGCTCCTTGGCACAGGTCAGTCCAGCACACTCAGTCCTTAGCTGGCAGTTCTTCAGAGGAGCCCCCCCACCCTGAGCTTCCCTTTGCTTCAAGGGAAATGCTTGTGTGATAAAGTAAGCTTTATTTAAAAGTCTTGAGTTTTGATTCTCTTTTTTTCCTCTGTAGAAATGAGCAGTCTTCAGCTTCCTGAAAACAGCTGAGTTGCTTTTCTGTGTGCTTTTTCATTTTGGCTTGTTTTCCTGTGCTTCTCTACCATCAGCCACTGGATACTTGCAGAAAAAAGTCTCGATGTGTTATTAATTAGGAGGCCTCTCCACTGGCCATCAGAGGTGCAGTGTCTGGTGGCAGAGGTCTCTGGGTGGGACAGCAGAAACTTGTGCAGCCCACGTAGGCTGTTGTTCCCTTGCTGTCSTGGAACAGGTCACTCCAGGTGACAGGCTGGGACACATTGGCCAGTCACTGGCTCCATCCCAGTGCTGCAAAAGCTTCAGCCTTCCTGGGAACATGAGGCAGAGCCCTCAGCATACAAAGAAGGAGAGTCGTGGTTGGCTTGGAGGTTTGCTGGCAAAGACCCTTAATCTTCAAAATCTTTCTCTGGTTCTGCATTCCTCTTCCTAATCCACATTACTTGAATGAGACCATTTTGCTGGAGGCTCTTTCCTGCTGGGAAGAGACCAGATGCTCTGTGATCTGACACAATTTTGAGATGCCTAAATCCTGAGAAGCACTAAGCAGCTGCTGGCAGTCTGTTAAATAACTTTTCTTGGGATTAAAACTCTTTCCTTCAACCCTACTGAKGGCAATCTTCACTTCGAAATAGAGCAAACAAGAAGTGATGTTCAAATGCAAGAAATGGTGTTACTGTCTGTGGCACTGCCTTTGTGGACCTTCCTGTTGCCTCTTTGAACTGTGAAACTGTGAGATCTGATCCATTCTTCCCCTTTTCASGAGTACAGTCTTTGAGAAGCACCCAGTCTCTGGCCCAGGAATGTTGCAGAGGGAGTGAAGCCTCCCAAGTGGTGTAGGGTTCCAAACCCCAGCAGYAGCAGCTCCTTTTATTGTTAAGTACAGAGGCTTTCTTGTCCAAACATCCCTCTGCAATTCCTGTCTGTGGTCACTTGAACTTACAGGTGTGCTCTGATTACTTTCTGTCATTGTCACCCTCCTGGAGATCCTYTGGCTCTTTATTTGGACATAAAAGATGCAGCATGTTTACTTCAGTCTCTTTCTGTAGACAGGTGCCCTTTGCAGAACTCCCAGGGAAGTCAAAGAGGCCAATACTAATTACAACTTGTTTGTAAATGCTAGTAATGCTCCTGGACTGTGTCACAGGGTGATGCTCATGTAGAAATGGCAGGTCAAGAAGAGCAAATGCAGAGGATTTTAACAGCTTTACTCTTAATTCTGTTTGTGCTGAATACCTGGCTTCTTACTCCTCCATATGTATAAGAATGACTGGTTCAAGAATTACTCTAACATGGCTTTTGAGTAGACTGCTGAAGGTTTCATGTTGTAATCAGTGGAGGAGGAACTTTGWGAAGTTTTTAGTGGCTCTTCAAAGATTTCCAGTCCTGTAGTTTGGCAGTAACACCTGCATTTTCAGCTTGCTATCATGGTAGTTTTGGGGGCTGTTCTGGAAGAARCAGATCTAAGCAAACAGCAACTGTAGAACTCAGTGGCAGGTACCTCTCTCTCTTTGCTTGGTTTCTGGAAACAGACAGGGGCTCTTTCAAACGGAGGCATCATAACTGTATTCTTGGAAGAGGATGGGAAGTTGCTGACTTCTCATGACAGAAGTCCTCCTGKATAAGTTTCCTGCCTTTTATCCATGCTTGCTCCTTTTGTAGCTTGGGTAAGTCACTTAAATTTTCTGGGGCCAGGTCCACATCTGGTGTATGAGGGCCATTGCTATACCAAGTTATCACACAAGGAGGAGGCCTTCACCCCATTCTAAAATTGAGATAGTAGCCCTTACCTACCTCACAAGGTTGCGGTGAGGATTGATGCTCATACTGCACTTTGAAGAGGTAAAGTGCTATGTAAATCCCAAGTATTATCCAATTTCAGTGTTAAAAGCGCTTTTAGGGATGTGCAGGATTTCTCTTAAAGCATGGAATGTGTGACTGCCTTTTCAATTTGCATCAGATGGGAAGCAAATGCAAAGTATTTATTCATGCTGGTTAGGACGGATTCAGCTGCGCTTGAACTCTGAGGAAGGCTTAGCTTAAAGATCTGAACTCTCTAATTTCAGTTTTGCAAATGGTTTTTAGTTCTTCTAAGAGCCTTGACCAAATTCTTAGATGTGAACCTTGCATCCAAATTTTGCAGTCTGGTCTTGTCCCTGATTGTTAGCTGCAGTCAATATAATCCAGCCAAAACAGAGTGCCTCACAGTCTGCTGTGGCTGCTGAAAAAACTGGAACAGAAAATGAAGTCATTCTATTTAACCTTCAGTCTGCAGAAGGTCAGCTGGGTTTCATGAGACAACTTGCAAAGGGWTGTTTAATTTCTGTAAGTTTTACTGGCTTTAAAAACAGCAGAGAGGGAAAGCCTTGATGGAATCAATAAGGTCARCACATCCTTCTTGAATTCCTTTCTTTTCACCTGAGTCAAGGAAACAGCGGGTTTTATAGCAAAGGAAGTGCTTGTACCACCAGTCCTACAGCCCAGAACAAAAACTGATCTAGAMATACAGTTCTCAACCATCACCATGTTCTCAACTAGGATCAAAATSCCACTGTTCACTGTTTTAAATCTGGACCACAGCGAGAAACTACCTAGTTGTTGTAGCACTAGCTGCTATACAAACACAAATGAAGGTAAGGAATTACACACTAAGGAATGTGAGCTGTGTACATGTGAAATGGACCATAATTTTGAAGCAGCTGCAGTAAAATCTTAATATGAACTCAGAAGCAAACACAATGCAAATTTTTATGGTTTCTTTAAAATATTTGATGGGTTTTCATTTTCTTAGTTTGGAGAAAATTTTTTTAATGTTATTTTATTTTTGCTCTTACTGTAAAGAATAAAAATATATTACTCTAGACAGTCTACAAATGAAAAAAAAAGGTGGACAGTTGGCAGGAATGTCAGAACTTCTGTGGCCTGTATTGTTTCTGTGGTGACACTATGCTGCTGTTGGGTGAGCTTCTGGAGTGCTGTGGTGGCTCAAAAATGAGGCTGAAGCACAGGATGCAGGGTTTGAGCCACCAGGACTTCAGTGGGAGCATGACTGGGCCAATTCGGATTGGTCAAAAGACGGAGCATCAGGAAATAAGACACCTTTTCGTGACAGAAGAAAAGCAAGAAACCAAAACCAGCCTGTTGGGCGATGGTGCTGAATCACTACAAATATTTATCTAGTCCCTGCTGGTGCAGGTTCCTGCTGGACCAAGCCTTGCTCCTAATTCAGCTGGGGAGGCTTGCTCCAAGCCTATGGTGCTGGGAGGGTCAGGCCAGCAGAATCTGAAGCTTTGTTAAATAAAACTCAAAAGCAGAAAACAACAACAAAAAAAACAAAACCCCAAAACCACAAAAAAAACCCACCAAAACCCAAAACAAACCAAGGAAGGAAAAAGCAAATGCCACTGGATAAGTGGCATTTCTGCCTGCCTGAGAATGCAGAGTGGCTGGTCTGTCCTGAACACTAATCTCTGTCTTGGACCCATGTGAGCCTCTTCTCCAGCCCCACTCCCACACATTCCAGGCAGAGTGCACTGAAAGATGTGACTGAAGCAGCTGCTCTCCTCYGGGGAGTCAAGCATTTTGCCATGTCTGAAAGTCTCTAGCACTTACTTTYTTTACTGTGATTGTAAAGGTCGCCACATACAGTACTGCCACTTGATCTGGGATCTTTTCTTAACACATTTTTATGCTGATTTTACTCTTTTAATTCTTTGTTTGGAATGTATTTTTTTTCTGATTTCTTCTGTGTGTAACAGCAATTAAAATATTAATTTACTGGGTATTTTTACTGTGCAGATACAGTGTGTCCTTGCTTATTTTCTGTTTCTGTCACCGTTTCAGCATGGAATATGCGGCCATTCTGTGGTGAGCRCTTTGTGCCTCTGTTATGCCCTCCAGCATAATTCGTGCTGGAGCTTCTCAGTGCCCCACAGAACCTGATTGTCACAGTCAGCCACAGCATTCCTACCTGGGGAACCCTGAAAAACAGCCACATGCACCCCACRGAGCACATCCAACACAAACCAACCAAGCACCACATCCTGGATGCCCTGGGAGGCCAATCTCTGGAGCAAGCTTGCCCCTTGTTGCTGCAGACAGTCCCACTACTGTGGGCACTTGTCCACACTTCCAGGGAGAAGGGAGCTTGCTGCCCAGGGCTGCTCCAAGAAGACTGCTGACTTCCAGGGAGTCCCAGACAAATGGCCAAATCTCCCTCTGCCCTCACCCCAGAAAAAAAAATTGAGGGGAAACAAAATAGGGAAGTCTGCACATTTTTCTCTGATTGCAGATCTGATGCCAGATTCTTCAGCTGTTTGATGCAGTGGCACAGATATTTTGTTTCATTAATCCTGAACCAGGCCATCTGTCACCAGTAGAACAGGTTTCAAGGATTTATAGCATAGAAACACAGCGTGTGTAAGTGCTTCCAGTCAGTTAAATGAATCTGCTTGCAGGCTTAATGGAAACTCCTTCATACTCCCCCTCTGAAGTGGAATGGTTCCTGATGCGAGAATTAATCAGCACCGGGCGCAAACACAACCAAATTCTTTGCAAGACAGCCCAAAAGGGTTAACAGGAAGAAAAAGCAGATGATTCTCTCCTCTTTCTTTTATTTGGTCTTTTACAATTCCTTTCACAAACTTGGAGGCCTGCTAGGAGGAGCATCCTGTTTCCTCATACCTGCTTCCTAGCTCCAGATGGAGCGAAAGTGACACAATATTCTCAGACTGAGTGTGTCTGAGTGGCTGGCCACTGCTATATTTTTATTCCATGACTGGCTAATGGAAGATTTCAGTCTAAATTAAAAGAACCATCATCAATATACATGTATTTGTATTGATCTACCAGTCTGTTCAGTGGTTCAGGTATTCTGTAATCCCAYACCTAGTCTTGACCGCCAGCAGGGAAGTTCCTGCACCTTCTGTGGCCAGCTCTWTCACAACATGATTCCCTCATCTGCAAAGCTCTGTTTACTTTCTTGATATTTTGAGGATTTAAGTTTTTCAGATTTATGGCTTACTCTGTGTTTATATACAATCTAACAGAAGGAAGCCTAAAATATAACAGAGCTCCTGCTGTGCTGTCTAGAGACAAGGAAGCAGGATCCAAGTCTCCTGTTGAACTTGGAAGCAGGATTCTCTCCAATCTTTGGSTCCTTTTATTACAATTATGATACATTAGCAGAGGGTATTGGAAATATYGCCTTTAACGTGCACCTTACTGTCCAAAATCAAAGGGAAGGAAGATGGAAATGTCAGAAGTGTCTCTGCTGAGCAGAAGCCCCACTCTACCACCTGGTCTAACTGACCTTCGCAGAAGCCAAGGGCAGCTGCATTTTGAGCCACGTGAAGATAAACTGCACAGCCACAACAATGCTGCTCTGCATGCCAGACCAGGCACAGCTAGTTCCACTAATTGTGTCTTGTGTTTCGACTTCTGCAAACTTCCTGTCCCTGTGTCCATCTTTTTCTTAAGGAAAATTGAGTGCCATAATTAGTGCWGTCAACCCTGTGTTTTGAGTGCAAGTCTCACAAAGTTATGGATAAAAAGCTTTATAAAAATTTTTAAGCTTTTAAAGCTCTATAAGGTTTTCCACTGAATAGAGGAAAAAGTAGTCTGGTTGTGGTTTGTTGTCTGGAAGTGACAGTYCAAATTTAGGGAGTTCTCATTTTCACTCCCATTTCCCCTTGTTCAGTTCAGCACTGTTCTGAATAATTCACTCTGGGTCTAATAGTCATTGTGTTCTCTGCAACCTGCCACCTCCCAGCCTAACGAGAATTATATTCACCCCTTCTGAGTTACAACAGCAGCAAAGCTGCTGCTGCTGCRTTTCACTGAGGTGGTGCAATGCCCTATTTGGTTTTGCAAACATTGAGGAAAGGGCTAAAGCTGGAAAACTTGGCTAAGCAGAAGAGAGCAATTGTCCTTCCTTAAAGAAGAGAAATAGAAGAGCATGCAAGTGTTGGGTTTGCATGGCAAAGCTTTGGTGGCAGTGGGGCACTGCAGGGGTGGCTTCTGTGAGAAGCTGCTGGAAGTTTCCCGTGTCCAATAGAACCAATAGGTCCAAGTGTCTCTGTGTCAACACTGTTAACAAGGGCGAAAGGACTGCAACAGCAATTGCAGCCAGAGGAGTGAGAATATGTGAGAGGAAAAAGGAGGGGCGAAGTGATGAACTGACCAACAGACCCCATTCYCCATTCCTCTGTACCAGAGGGGAAAGAAGATAAAAAATTCTGGAGTGAAGTTAAGCCCAGGAAGAAGGTGGGAGTAGTGGAAGATGTTTTAAGATTTAGGGTTGTTTTTTTTTTCTTCCCATACTCTGATTTGACTGGTAATAAATTAAATTTCACAAGTCAAGTGTGTTTTGCCTGTTACGGTAATTGGTGAGTGATCTCCTTGTCCTTTCCTTGCTTCATAAACCTTTTGTTAAATTTTCTCTCTCCTGTCCAGTGTGAAGGGTAGTGATAAAATGGCTTTGGTCTGCACCAGGTGTCCAGATGAGGTAAACCCATCCCAATATATTAAGAGGAATTGAGACAGAGGTTTAGTTCCTGTGGAATCATCACAGAAATAAGCTACTCCTGCACAGCTATTCAGATCAGCAGATTCATTCAGCCCTTCGATCAGCCCTTACTCCTTTCCCCCAGGAGAGCCCATCGTCAGATAAAGACCATTGAAAGTCTCTAAAAWATGTCCCTAAAGAAAATCTTACAAGTCCTGGTCTGAAGGGGCTCCTGGCAGTGTTTGCTTTCACTCAAAGCATGATGCAYTTCAGCCTGCAGCGACTGACTCCAGGCAATAATTACCCCTCTAGGCAGTAACTACACCTCTTCCAGAATTAAYATCAGCAAGATATAAGCCCTAAAATAATAAAAACAAACCTGCAGGTAAGCTTGATTTAACATGATTGCCTTATCTGCTAAAGCTGGTTTTGCAGTCTTTGACTTCTGCTTTCCCACCTCACCCAGCTGCAAACAGCTGGCAGCAGAGAGACCCTACTCAGAAACTGCCTAGGTCAAGGTGGGGAGGAGCCCCAGGAGCCCTCAAACACAGGCTTCCATTGAGGAATCTGGGTATCAATCAGCATCTCACCCACCCAGTACTTTTGCAAGCCTCATTCCCAAGCCAGGCCTGCAGTAAACAGGCGGCTTTGAATAACTTTGAAGAGGTGTGTTCCTCCTGTAACAATGCTCATCTCAACAAGCTCTGTGTGGGCAGGCAGAAGATAGGTGCCACCCAACAATCAGATCTCGGGGGGGATAGAGAGCTGTTCTTGTGCCCCTTAGGCCTGCCTGCCTTCCCTGAACTTGGTTGGCAGTGCTGCCAGAATTCCTTGCATCAGCCTGGCTGCCAGAGAAGGCTYCCACTGATTTTAGGGACAAGGAAGCTGTACTCCAGCTGTGGCTTCAGGGAGGAGTGTCTCAGTGTACATGGCAAGTGGGACACATGGTAACAACAGGAATTTAAAAATGGTGAAGAATTGCTTTTAGGGTTTTTTTTTTTTTTTTTGGGGGGGGGCAGTCTTCAGTGAAGAAGTGTTGCATGTATTGTACACACAAAGACAGATCAGTTTGAAAATCAGAGCAGGAAACCCAATGTGTGCATCCTTTCCCTCTGCTGAGCTACTTCCCCATTAACAGAGAGAACCAAGCGCTGGGTGGAGCGTGTTTGTGTGCTCAGCAGTTGTCAGCAGGCTGTCCAGAAGTAATGATCTCAGACAAAAATAACCCTGAAAGATCTTTCCAAATATAGTCCCTCATTATTGGTGCCATATCAGTTGCATTTCAAGCCATGTCTGGCACTCTCTCTAGTCCCGTTTAAGAGGACACTAACAGGCCCCTGACACCAGGGCCTGTCTCTAAAATGTGTTAGTAAAACCTCACCCTATGCACCTGGAAGTGTCCATGCTCACACCACCAATTTGAGCCAGCTGGRACAAAGCTCTGTGTAACAACCTGATTTAAAACTTCACTGTATGGGAGCTTTAACAAAACAGGGAGGAAGAAGGGGGAGATGAAATATCTGATTGTCTTCCTTCTAGTGTCTTGGAAACTTTACTAGTTGTCACACAATGTTGGCAAAATCCTGCCATTTTACAGAGGAATAAAACAAATGTTCCCAGTGCAGKGTCTGTGCAAAAAAAGCACAAAGTTTTTGTCAGAATGCATCTCTGGACTGCCTGGAAGTGCTAAGTATGTCAAAGATGCAGGGCAAGCCTGCCTAGGGACTGAGAAATGGTCATATTTGCTTTTGACCCATGCAGGGATTTAATGAGGCCTGCTGGCCAAAATAAGCCTATTTAAGGGACGCAATACTGCCTTAAAGCAACTGAAGACACACATCRGTGACTTTGACAGAAATCAGTCAGAGTTAGGCTGTTTTCTTGGATATGAAGGTAAGTTCTTACAAGGTGGCCCTTGCAGCTCCAGCACCTACAGACTGGGCAATCTCTTCCCCTGTGGACCAGGGTGAGAGGCACAGACTGGCCCACAGGAGTGTGATTGATCCACAGTGCCAGTCCCAGCAAGTGCACTTGCCCCGGAAAACAGCAGGGTGTGAACGACACTCAGAATGAAATCCAGGGTTACTCAGCCGGCAGGGAATCACCCCCAACAAACCACAAATCTGACCCACCACTGCCAATCAGCTTGCAGCTGCAAGGGGTCATAAGCAGGCAGGTGCTTCTTGTGGAGGTGAACCACAAGCTAGGCTGGGGTGGGATGCTGAYGGTGCCCTTGACCTGGGGTCACTGGGGGTGGTGGTTGGTGATGAAAGCACAGCTCAGGGCACAGCTGTTGCTGTGACTCGTGCTGTGGTTCCTCAGTGGGGCCACGGAGCAGGAAGCACAGTCCTTCCCAGGATACTCCATCTTGAAGTCAAAACACTGCTGAGGACAATCACCGTGGGCTGCTTCCCACTGTGCATTCAAACAGGCCAGCACCATCAACACAGCGAGCCTTCTCCTGCATGAGTACTAATCTTACAGAGCTTGGGTATGTCATTTCATGACCTGGGCTTACTTCCCATCAGGGAAAACACTCCCAAAACATAGGGAGCAGGAAGAATGAACAATACACCACATTTCTCTTGGCATCTGACCAGCATACCTATCTCAACATGCAAACAAATACAAACTGAAAATCAAGAGGGGAAGGAATYGGAAATCTCATTCTCCCATTAATTTGCTATGCAACTGTAAGCAAGCAATTAATTTCTTTGTTTCTTTGTCTGTAACTAAGGTGTCAGACTTTTRCTCCACTGGGATATATTGATGCCTTCTCACACTAACGCCATTAAATTGTAAAGTGCTTTCGGATATTTGGCTCCCAAAGCACTTTAGAAATGCATGATTAAATTACACCCAATTATAAACCAAAGCAGGTGATTTTGTAGAGGAAGGGATATTGCTCTGCTGGTGTTGCTCTGAGGCATTAATACTCTACAGAATGCTCAAGGGAAATCAAGGGGAACTGTGTGTACCATTTAATTTCCAGTGTCCACTGCAAATCTTTCATTTTCAGCCTGTATTTAAACACATTGCTTGAAGTATTTAATACTGCTCATTCCATTGGCATTGGATCCCATCGGGAAAATCCCCTGGATTCTAAAGGTAGCCCTGTATGGCAAAATTCTTTCATGAGACCTCATTCTCAGAAAAGATCTTATTCTCCTTCAGAGTTTTTCTACCATCTCTAAGGTTTATGCAAGTAAACCTTGTGACTTGCCATTTATAATGAAGAATAGGAAATGGGTTCACAACTGTGTTCTGCTGGTCTTGCCTGAAGATAGGCAGGCTATTATCAAAGGGATGTTCAGGGAATGTAGTGCAAGGCACAGCCAACCTAACCTTCCTCCATTTACTATTCTTCCACACTTGACTACATGCACAGAAGTTACAAAGTAATTTCAGACTCTGCAAAATCCTGGYCTAGAGCATTCCCACACCAGAACACAACCACAGCCACATAACTGGAAGTGCTCTTTCTCAGCTGTACAGGTAGCCAAMGTAACATACCTACAGTCTAATCGATCAGGAAAGGCTGATTGGTAAATACAAATACAGGATTTGACACCTCATTAACTCCTTTTAGGGTACCACTGTCAATTTAATGTGTTACCCATTACTCTTAATAGGATTAGAAGACTCATAGGAGCATTTGGATAGACTTCTGAAGTAATATATGCCTGATCTAGTAATAAGTATTAACATATAATTTTTTTTTTTGTATTACTAAACTGTTTATTATACCAGGCATAGGCCAATCGAAAAAGTTTGTCTTTGACCTCACCATTTAGAGTTGCTGGATTCAGCAATTCCCCAGACTGGGCAGAAGGATCACTTACCATTTGGACTTGATGAGCTGGGCCATGTTCTGTTATGTTTGGGAGCTCTGCTGATTAGACATCCATGTTATGGATGGAGGAGCAACTGAACAAAGGAGAAGGCATTTACCTGACAGGATGGCCTCTAAATGTTTAATTTAATGTGCTTTCAGGGACTTCTGGTCCAGAAAGRCTGTCACACAGCCTCCTACGTGTCACAAATTTCTTTGCTTTTCCTTCAGGGAACAAACACAGTCAGACTGGAAATGTGCTACAAGAAAAACAACTTGTAACACCAATCTTCTGTTATGTCAAGACATGATAATATCAGCCTCTGTGCACACGGATGTCCTGAATTTTAATTGAAACAGCATCTTTATAAACTGCTATGCAATGGGCTACATACACATGTAGTAAAAGGAAGCCTGGTCCTGAAGAGGTTGCCAACAAATGATGGGATAGAGCAGAAGATATTCTTGTATCTAATCACCAGGTGGGCACCTGATGTGCAAAGCAGCTTCGTGACATACCCAAGGCTACGCAGTGAGCCTGAGCTCAACCCTGAGTCCAGTGTTTAGCTCTGTGTTTGGAGATGTTCCACTGCTCCTGTGAATCCAGAGGGTCAGTGTCCCTACTGTCACTGCACACAATGACTCAGAAGAAGTATTTCCTCCCTRGGAGCAGGCCTGTGACAGTGTATTTATTGCTGTAGACCTTCTCTGTRCCTGTGAACCACATGTCAGTACTGACATCACATTGCAGGACATCACAATAAGTCTCCTAATTGTCTTTCGCATCTGAGCTATGGTTTAGGGTCACGGTGTTTGGGACTCCTTCACCCAGCTGCAGATTACTGGGTGGTGGAAAGCTAAGAATTTATGAGCCCATTTAAGTATTAGTTTATTCTGTTTAGCTTCCTCTCTCTGCTCTTTTCTGGKGCAAAAATGTTTCACTTCCAAGGTCACTGTATATCTAGGAAAGTACTCCTTTCTTGATTTCTTCTACCTTGAGAACCCCAGGGCCAATTTGTCCTGTGTAATTACCTTCTAATGAAAAAAAATAAGGCTGTTAGTTTTGAAAAGCATTCTCTGAAAGGACGACAAGTGCAAAATACACTGCGTAGGTCTGTAACCTCAAGAGMTCATTACAGTAATAGGAGTCTCTCTAAGAAGCCAAGTCAGCCTGCCTCCACTTGGCTGGCACAGACCCACTGGCAATGGAAATGGTGTCACCAGACTGCTGAGGGGACAGACACTGTTGTGTCAGTGCTGTTATGGGGATTTCCCTGTTCAAATAATGGCAGGAAAAACAAGGTAGCATTGGGAGTGTCTGGAGCAGTAACTGCATCACCCTTTCCCTCCACAATGGACAGAGTAAACAAAGCTGCAGCAGCACCATCCTTATTCCTTGGCTCTGAGCCATGCTGCTTACAGGTGTGGCTCAGCTAACATGAGGGAGGGAGCTGGGAAACACAAAGGCAAGAACTAAGGAATTCCTTTCTGACCAGGAGTCTTTCTTGCCTTGGGTGGAAATATTTTGGATTTGTCCTGTGGCCTTTTTTGGTTAAAGAGTTGTATCATTGGAAGCTTTTTTTTTTTTTTTTTTTTTTTTTTTTTTTTTTCCTAGCCTTCATAACATTTTTCACTCTCTTCTTCTTTTTTTTTTTTTTTTCCTAGCCTTCATAACATTTTTCACTCTCTTCCTACAACACTATCAAAAAGACTGAATCAACCTTATCATGTATGTATCCCCTCCTCTTCTTCATCTTTTTGAAGTAAGGAAACGGTGTGACCCATTTTCCCAGTCTTCAGATCTGTCTCTGGCTCTTGAAGTGAATAAAAATTGAGTGAACTTGTGAAAATGCTGCTACTGCTTTGCCAGTTTCATCCCCCACTTCCTTCAGCACTCCTGGTGTGTGTAATCTGGCCAAGGAATCTTGTCAATTTTGAAAGACTATAACCCCTTAACAACCATTTTCTGCTGTATTTTACATGCTTCCTAATTTTTTACCTGTGTTCGTGGATGTGTGATTTAGATATAATTTAATCTTTTTCATGAAAAAAGGCAGATGTAGGGTAGCATTTCATCCGGCTCTTTCTCTTCTAGGTCCCTACTGTCTTTCATGTGCTCCCAAAATTGCTCAAAAGTATATGTGCAGTTGATAAAAGACATTTAACTCTCTCCACTCCAACGAAAAATTAATGTGGCCTAAGCTACTCTGTTAATAACGTCAACCAATCCTTTATAATGCTGCACCATAAGATTAAATATAGATTTGGGGGTGATGAAACTCTGAGCTTTGTAAATCATTCAGAATTTGGAGTTCAATTTTTAATCTTGGAAAAGCACCACTTTTTAAAGGCTGATGAAGTTTTAGAATAGCAATATTTCCCCCGTTTTGCAGTTTGTGTTAGCCAATACAGGCAAAATAAAAATATAGGAAGAAATAAGGCGGAACAAAAAAAAAAAAATAGGAACAAATTAAAAAAAAACTGGAAGGTCTCTTTGTGTGATATCAACTGATGCCTCCATGATGTTTGTAAATAAATTTTCTTATAAATGTGGGAAGTTTCAAGTTGCATACAAACCATATGATTAATAAATATTCAGATCACGAAAGTGATACAAGCACAAAAGCCTCAAAGATGAACATTTCGATCCATTGAAACTTTCATAATGATTATATTTTACTTTCCTCTGTCACCATAAAGCTGCAATTGCTCAAATAGTGAGTAATTTATACTGAAAGAGCCCAAAGGGTGGTGAACAGGAAGTTTGTGGCCATCAGGTAAATCCGGATTTTTCGGCTTTTGTTGTGACCAGAAATTACTTTCAAGATCTGAAAAACTTAACATAGAAAAACAAA